GCAGGTGTTGGGAACCAGCAGTCAGATGAGGCTCATGGCATCGACCTCTGGGACCCGGGAAACAAGCCAGAGAGGGGAGTCAGAAGTGAATGTTGACATAGTCCTCTGGATCGGTGTCTTCCGCCTCGCAAGCAGGCTGGTGATGGGTGCTCACACACCCATCGCTGGTCTTCAGAGTTGGGGCATGGCACCAGGAAGTTACAGACACCTGGGAACAACCAAAATGGGGGTTTTAATATCTCTCTGGGCAGATTTCCACAGTGGGAATGGGGCATGTGTGCAGTGGCTGACTTCAAAGACACAGGAGTGGTTGAGATTCATCCTGGGGCTCAGCCCCGGGGGTTTTCAGGGAGGTGTCTCAAATAGACAATGGAAAATGCTGAGGTATAAATGCTCAGACTAAAGTTCCATGGCTAAACCTAGGCTGAAGGAGACCCAGCAGCTTGAGGAGTTTTCCCTCTGGAACTGTATATGACTTGTGGAATAAATATGTATCTTGTTAGGGAGTTATTCAAAGTCCAGTGAGTCATCCTCTGCACCTCTGTTGGGCTCAGTCAGAAAGGACATAATGTGTCATGACAGTGATTCTAGAAAGGGGCTGGGTGTGTGTGTGTAGACGGGGCTGGGGAGGTGTAGGGGGTAGAGAGAGGGGAGGGGCACATGGCATAGTGGTGCTTCTTTCCCAGAGTCCACAGGAACATCTACCTTCAGGATGGTCAGTCTCGGAGGACAGGGCTGTGCCAGAATCCCAACATGCCACAATAACTGTAACATCCACCCAAGAAGGCAGTGGCAGGGCCCTTCATGATGTAAACACAAGTGCTGGGAACTAGAAGTTCAGCCTCCTGAACGCTTACTCCTAGTACTTTTGTAACAGGGTGGTCCCTAGGAAAAGGGGAAGTGCCAGGTTCCCTGCCCCACCCAGAAGGAGGGTGGAGCTGAGAAGAGGAAGGAGAGAAGAGAAGGAAGCTGGATGGAGAGCCAGAAGGAGACCTGAGGAAGCCACATGGAGCAGCAAGTATGTGAGGAAGAAGCCGTGCTTGTTTCCTGACCCTGGACTAGTTAAGGCAGATGTGGTTGAGAGTTAAGGCAGATGTGGTTGAGGGAGGTGACTATGGCAGTGTTTATATTGATTTTGATTTTGCTCTTTTCCTCCCAGACTTGTCTGGCCATGTCTGACCCTTTTCCATGGGTCCCGGCCTGAAGGTGTTTTAGTCTTGTGGCAGCTTTGGGCCAATCCCTTTTGGGTTGACTTTTGCCCATGAGGGGATGGGTAACTTCAGGTGTTTGATTTAGAAGTTATATTCTCTGTGTTCCATATTGTATATTCACTGTATTAAAGTCCCTTTTCACTAAAGCTTTATATGTTTTGTCTTGACGTGGCGGATGGCAGAACCCACTTAGAGCATGCAGGTTTTGGGCTTCAGGGGTGCCTCTCTCTCTCCCTGTCCTATAACTCTTTACCAAAGAGGAAATGAGGAGCAGTTTGTTTTAAAACTATAGCTCCCGTTGCCTATTATGGCTCATCATTTGAGATCAATTTATTTGGCTTCAAATATATTTGCTGTGAATGCCAAAATATTTGTCACCAATCATACCCACCTTGTAAAAAGGTTCCATCGAGAATTTCAGGCAAGGAGGAAAGGTAACATTTGAGCAAGGATAGGCCTCGGCAAAGTCACAGGAAAGAATAAGAGCCAAAGACTGGTGTGAGGGCAGAACCACTGGCATTTAAGCTACTGGGATTCTTCTCTAGCAGGGGCTGGACCAAGTTCAAGAAACTCAAAGTGTCTGGGGCAGAGCTGTTACTTACTGCTGTGCACGGCCCTTCCATTTTAGCCAAATTCATGATTGTTCCAGGGACTACATTTCTCAGCCTCCTTTGAAGATAGGTGTGGTTAGTCACATAATTATGTTACAGCCAGTGGGACAGAAGTGGACGTGGTGTGTGAAATTCAGGGCCATGGCCCTAAAGAGCAGACTCAGGGTGGGGGGTGGAGCCGTGAGAAGGCACTGGAATGCTGGGGTGAACTTACCATGGCCTTAAGGCTCCTGTCACCTCATCCTGGCCCCCACCCCCACATTTATTTGAGAGGAAACTAAGTTTCTGTCCATTGTTTTAGGTCTAAAGGTCTAGACCTTCTGAATTTGGGAAAGCAAAGATGTATAGAGAGATTCAAGGCATTTTTTTTTTAACCCATCTGCTAATGGCCACTGTTAGAAAAATGAGTCACCTCATCCGTTCCTAGATTTCCAAAAGAATCCTCCTCACCCCAGGTGTGGAATGCTAGCCACATCCTGACACCGGCCAGGCTGACAGGCTTCCATTCATGAGCTAATCCCCTCCTTTCATATTGAAGTTTATCAGGAAGCTCTGCCTCATTGTCAAGCTGGGTGCGGTGGACACTTGAAGACCTACTGGGACTAGAATCTTTTCCACTTGAAAGTCCTTCACTTATTTTCACAGCCACTCATTATCGCCTAAGAAATGCTCGGGCGAAAAGTAACGCAACTAAAGCTACCACAGGTAGGTGATCAGCCCACTGACACCATCACTGGCAGAAGCTGATTTCAACCCGTTCCCAGCTCCAGGCCTGGCCTGGGCTGCTGCTGGGAAAACCCGAGCCCTGGCCCAGCCTCCTCTGGAGCTGGAGTGCGGCCCTTGCCGGGTCTCCCGCCGTGGTTGCCACCCAGGGGCAGGGCGGAGCTTACCTGCTGCGGGGTGAGAGGCGCCGAAGCTCCAGGGCCTGGGAGAAGTACCTCCAGCTTAACTAAGGGGAGCAGGGATGCCGAAGTGATGAAGTGGTCTAGGGGTCAGCTCCCCGCCCAGCCCTGCCAGAATCCCGGGGAGGGAAAGCCGGACCCGGCGGAAGCTGGTTTTCCTGGAGAAGGAAGACTCCGGGCGCACGGTCGGCGACCGCGCTGTTTCTGCAGAGGCAGGTCTGTAGCCGGATGATCCAGCTCTCCCCAACCTGAGCTCCCCCGCCTCTCGGAGACCACGCCTCTCTGCAACGCAGGCCCACTTGCCCCCCACCCCCCAAGCTTGCCCGCCCCGCCCCGCGAGCCCACGTGCCCGCCCCGCGACTGCTCACCCCACTAGAGCTCACCCGCGGAGTCCGCCCCGCTAGCGCGTCGGGGGCAGGCGCTGTAGATGTTCTGGCAACGAGGCCGCTGGGCATCGCGGGGTCGTTGGGGCTGCCGCAGCCGGGAAGCCTCCGGAACGCGCATTCTCAGCGTGGGTCTGGAAACCCGCCTGGCTAGGCCTTCTCGTCAAAGCGCAGCGAAAGAGGGAGGAAAATGGAGTCAGGCGCCATCCTGTTCCCTCCCCAGGGTCTAAAGAGCACCGAAGCTGTCTCCAGTTCCTGTGCTTGTGGTATATATTCAGGAAAGGTGTGCAGAACGTTTGAGGCACAGCCTTGACTTCTCCTGAAAACCAAAGCGCCCAGACCGCCCTCTCCTGGACTTCTCATCATTCAGCCCATTCTCCACCCTCCGGCTGCTCGTCTAAGCGCCTGGAGTTTTCCGGGCAGAATAGCGGGGATCTGAACACTCTTGCTTCCTTGGGCAGCTTAGTTCTCCTTGGCGAGCCCAGCAGCTCACTTTTCCGCCTTTGAATGACTCTTCTCACCACCAGCCCCAGAGGTGCCAACAAGGTTAGGCTCAAGGTGGTCGGGATCAGGATGTTGAACCTCTGGGTTTCTGCCCCTGATGTCTGGCCATAGTGGAAGTCTCTGGAGGGAAGAGAGGGAGGAGATTAGTCTAGAAGAGAGGGTGAGAAAGCACTTGACTGGCCAACTGGTTTGGAGGTGCCTCTCAGGCTTGTCCCTTTGTGAACAACAGAATTCTTGCTTCCTTGCTCCCTGCTCCATAGCTTTTCTGAGTCTCATTTCCTGGCAAGTGGATATAGTAAAACCTGTTTGACGGAACCGTTACTACAATGCAACGAAATAGTGGAGATAAAGAACTTAATGCAGCAGCCACTAAACCTTAGGTCTTCCCTCCATTTTCTCTAGTGTTGAATCTTACTTGCCTATAAATGGACCCATGAACACTTACTTTCTTTTTTTCTCCTGGTATAAACCAGGATCGCTATAAACCAGGATCGCTTGTCCGCATCAAGAAATTCATAACCATTAAATGTACCCATTATCGCAGTCAGACTTGTACTAGGACCTGGTGTTACATGTGGTCTAGGGGTCCTGCTCCCCGCACACCCTGTCAGGACCCCTGGGAAGCAGAGCACACCTTGTGGTTTTCTTTGAAAAGCAAGGCGTCAGGCAGCACATACTGATATTTAGGACATAGCACAAAGCCCAATACATAGTGAAGACTAAGACATGTTGATGCTTGAAGTGATTTGAATACTTTTCCGTTGATAGACTAATGTAATTTACCGAAACTAGGAATCAGTGAGACTTGTTCTTCTTGAAAACATTTAGCCTCTGTTTATTTAGCTGTTAAGATTCAAATGATGTTGGAGCAAGAAAGGATTTCTTAAAAACCTGCTGGTCTTTCCTTACACCAAAGTAAATCCAAGTTGAGGCTTTTTTTTTTTTGGAGTCTGCTGCGATGCTGCCCCCTCGTGGCCTATTGAATCACTTTCCTGGGTTGCGCTCCTGCCTTTGGACCCGAGTTGGCAACTAGGAATATAGAATGAGCTGCAGGCCCTCCCTGGTGGCGCAGCGGGTTAAAGCACAGCCCTGAGCAGCTAAAGCAACTTCCCCATGAGTTCGATCCCCGCCTGCCCGGGAGGTGACCCTGTGGCGTGGCAGGCCTCTCCTGACCTGCCCACTGCCCTCCTCAGCAGTGTACTTCGTGATCTGCCTGTTCTGCTCCCCACTCTGTTTCTGGTGAATCCTCTCACCGCATCTGCACCTGTGGCCTATATGCCAGTTCTGTATGCAAATAAGTAAATCTTAAAAAATAAAAGTGCAAGTAAATAAATCTTTAAAAAAAAATGAGCTGCATATGTAATATTAAATTTCCCGGTAGCCACCTTAGAAAAGTAAAAGAAAATACAAACACAGTAAGGTTATTTTTACGGTAATAGTTCCACAGTTAACTTTACTCTCATTTAGTTTCCTATAAAACTCCTGAAGGACTATTGAATGACTGACAAATTTGGGGCTCATTTCTACAGGATTTTCTGCCGAGGCTTTGACAGCTTTGACAATCATGGTGTTATATGTCATTGTGGCCCTCTAGAGATAAAGCCAAAATGGGAATCGGTGGACATTATGGAAGATTTCAGTGAATCCCTTAATTTGAGATCACATGACTGGGTGTCTAGCCTATCTTGGCTAGTGGAGGGCTCTTACCTCTGCCTGGGGTGGTGGATGTGACTGGCTGTCTGGGACTTGAGCGGCCCCTTCTGAGCTGAGGTCTTCAAGGCTTTGGTAGATGGCAGGAGGGTTGGGGATTTGGCACCTGCTACTGAAGATGTTCTGGAAACTCGAGGGTGGTGGGTGGTCGTGCTGATGGGGGAAAGGGAGGGTGCTGGAGGAACTTTGGTCCTCTGAGCTGGTGTGGTCACTGTAGGAAATAATGAGAAAAAGCCACCTTTCATATACACTCTCCAGCAGGATTGGACCACTGTCACTTTCTTAAATAGTCTTCTTTTTTCATTAGGCTCTCTTTGTTTTTGCAGTCTTGGTGGCCTAAAATGCCTTCTTACCATGTTGCCTACACCTAATAAATTCTCTATTTGCTTCAAACAGCATTTTATACATGAAACCTTCCCTGACTTTCCAGGCAGAAGAGTTTGTCCTCTGAGTATGTAGAAGACCTTGCCTGCCTTTGCTGTGCTTGTATGCTTATCTCTTCTCCCACATCCCACCTACCAGTCACCACCTTGGATATAAGATGTGCTCCTGTCTATCCTTTTTGACCTCCTAAGGATCCCCCGATGTAACAATGTTTAATGAATGTTTCTATCTCACAGGGAGGATGTGAGGATATGGAGATATTGGGTACCAAGTGCATTTCAAATAGGAAAATGATATAGAAATATAAAGGTTTCATCAGTGCAATCATGATGTGTCTTTTTACAGCAAGAGTTGTTATTATCACTCTGTGTTAGCCAGTAGAGGCCGATCTAGGGGAAAGCCAGGACCTCTGGAGGGGAAATCTCTGCACTGTCTTGGTGTCTGCAATCATTCTTTTTTCTCCTCTACGAATGCCCTGTTTATTATGGATTATCCAGATAATTACATCAGCTATTTGTCTTGTTTGAACCGTAGTGATCAAGCCAGTAGATACTTTGTCAAACTGAAGTAAATAATTTTGACTGGGAACTAGAAAAGGTGATGATAAACAATGACTACGTCTCTTTCTCCACAGTCTCCATTACATACACTCTCTGACATAACCTGTGATTTGTTTAATGAAGTGAAATCACAGTGTATGTTTCTTCTTTCTGCTATCTTTTAATTATATTTAGCTTATAAGTTGGAGTTTACTGTAGCAAAACCCTGCAGATGTAATCTGTTCAACTGTGTTGACCTCAATCTGCAGCTTCATTGCTGGTGGTGCCACCTGGTTGTGCTGCCCGTGTTCTGCAACTAACAGGTTGCAGGGTGGGGGATGATGTTGGGAGACAGCATGTCTCAGGGGTGGCTCTCGCTGAAGGCAGGGTGATACACACTTGAGACTCAGTTCTGCTCTGCTGGCCAGTCTGTGAACTGGACATACACCCACTTTCCACTTTCACAAGGTCACCTCATCTCTTCTACTTCTCACCACACAGGAACTGACCTTTGGATATAAATTCAGCAGAACTGGAATGTGCAGGCATCTGGAACGACGGGGTCATTGGCACGTGCTGAAATTCATGAAACCACTCTGGAGGTTCAGTCATCAGCTTATCTTCCAAGAAAGGTGCATACTCTGTAGGGGGCAAGAGGAACACATGGGTGTGGTCTGGAGGAGGCTGTAGCCTGGGGAAGGGGCTGTTGGAAAGAGCTGTAGCTGACTCAGCCCGGGGTGTACCGCAGTGGAGGGGGTTTGGAAGGGGTGGGTGATGGTGGGGTCTACCAGGAAGGGGGAGGGGAAGGGGAGGGAACAGAACTAGTGGTTTTCTTAAAGAAATGTTGTTTCAACATAATGCAATCAGTTTTCTCTAGAAAACTCAGAGGCCCCTGGGATTCTAGGCTGTTGAATTAGTGAAGAAGTTGTTGAGAAAAAGAGAAAGATAGAAAATATAAGGAAAGGATCAGTTTACAAAGTAACAGGTTTGACTTAGAAGTGTGACTTGAAAAATGAATATATTTCCTATATACTTACTTCTGAAACTTCTCAGTGGACAATTATATGGGACAGTTATTTCTTTTCCTTCCAATTTCCTTTAGTCTCAGAGCTTCTTGTTAATCTCTACCGCCAGTCCCTAGTTCCCTGATAGGCTACATATAATCCAATATAAAGAGAATTTATCTGTTGCTTTCTTAAAATTTTGATATAAAATTTTGTGGACCATTAAGTTGATTGACTATGAAGTTTCCAGACACAAATCTAAGTTATTATTGAGCTGGCAGTAGCTTAAGGGTCTTTTCCCTGGTTAAGCCCACCTGTCTTGGTGGAAACGCTTCCCAGGAGGGCTGAACCTCCATGAGGTGGGTCACCTACCGCTGTGGACACTCAGCGTGACTTGCTGGGTCTTGCCCCGGTCTGTGTTCACGCCGGCCCCACAGGCGTAGATACCACTGTCACTCTTGACCAGACCTGTCACCTCAACGAGGTACACATTCTTGTTTGGACAAGTTGTCAGGGTGACTCGCCTCTTGTACCCCTTCCTGACAAAGTTCTGATTAGAAACCACGGTAGCACAGATCCTAGAGTCAGGCATCTCTCGGCATAGGTAGATCCGCACGTGCGACTCGGGAAGCGGGCACTCGATGGTAATGGATCCGCCCAGAATACCCTCCAGCTTGACTTCTGGGAGAAACCTCAGAGCTCCAGAAACTGCAGGAAGAGGGAGTTAATGTAGAGGATGTTCTGTCTGCAGCTGGAGACCCACAGCTGCCACACTTCCAACTCCAACCCCTTTTTCAAATGCAGCCCAGTTCCAGTCTGGTCTCATTCTCATCCCTAGACTGAGTCTTGTTTTCATACCTAGCCGACACCTCGGCCAGCTCTTGGCTTGAGCCATGCAGACCCGGCTCTCGATCATGCCCCTCACCCCACCCAGTGACAGCTTCAGTCTTGCTCCGTGTTCATTCCTAGGCACAGACCCAGCTCTGAATCTCAGCCAGACCTGAATGAAACCCTCACCCTCATCACCAAGCCTATATGGCCCAGACACACAGAGTGAAACCCACTGTCCCACTGGGAGGAAAAATGATATACAATGGAGACCCCCAAAAAGTATGTGACTCCCTAGTGACTTGAAGGTGTAGGAGACATGGCATGGTTATGCTGAGACAAGTTTTCCTTTCTAAGTTTGTTTTTTTAAATTTTTTTAAAAAAGAGTTATTTATTTAGGTATACAAGAACTGGGGTACAGGCCAGAGGTGGGGGAGTGAGAGGACTCTCAAGATACTGAGTGGGGAGCAGAACAGGCCAACTGACAAGTACATTGCTGAGGGGAGCAGCGGGTGGGTCAGGAGAGGTCTGCTGTGCCATGTGGGACAGCTCCCTGGCTGGGGATCAAACTCACACTGCAGTGGCTGCAGACAGCTTCATAGTGCTGTGCTTTAACCCATTGCACTACCAGAGAGGGCCCTCTAGGTTCATTTTGCTCAGATCTGTCAGCTGGAATAACCACTCCCCAGTTGAATGAAATCATCCATTCACCGAGTATGGAAGGCCTTTCATGTGGGCATCCCTACCCTCACAGAATGAGGCGCTGTGTGTAGCATGTATGACTAGCTGCTGTAGCCGTGGTCAACCCCATAGCAGAGACACACAGGCTTTCTTGGAAGCAGCCTGAGCCAGGCTGTGGCAGAGGGATGCTGTGGTTTGAGGAAGCCTTTGTGGGAGAAGTGCTATCTAAGTTCTGACATGAGGGACTTTGGCATAAAAGGCAATTGAGGCAATGATGTTGCTCTTCATGGAGTGAGGCAGGGACACAGGAGGGCTGATCAGGGTGCATATGAGTGCACAAGCCAGCACGCATGAAATGTGAGTTGGGGTGTGCAGTGCATGTAGGAACTGTACGATGTGGTTTATGAATCCCTGACGTCCAAGAGCTTATGTTTTGAGTGAGAGCAGGCAGATTTACTGCACTGAGTCTAATGATGTAGAAGGTGAGGGGTTGCATAACCCTCAGCCATGTGAGCCCTCTAATGTCTGCATATTTCTGGGAAGCAGGTTCACTGGGCAAAGTGTGTGTGTTGGGGTGGAGGTGAGGAACTTGTGTGGAGGAGGAGAAATTCTCCCGGACATCAAGCACATAAAGTCTGGGGGATGAGCGAGAACATGTGTGTAGGTTGGAGAGAAGTTCACCAACTTCCTGAACTTCACCCACAGAGCACCACTATGAATAGCTCTAAGAAGCAGATCTTAACAAGGAGAGTCAAGATGAAAAGCACAGTTGAAGCTTCTGGGTGAGCAGAAAGGCCTGAGGAAGATGTTCTGGGCAGAGGGAGGCATGTGGATGACAGTAAGCAGTAGAAATGCTGTGGAGTGAGAGATGGGAGGAAAAGAGGGCTGAAGAGAAGCGTGTGCAGGACATGCTAAAATGTGCTGTTAAATGGATGGAAAGCGAGGTGCCTGCTGTTGGAGATCCATGGTTGCACGTGGAAACCCTCAGAGCTGCAAATACTGGAAACTGATGTGTGAGGAACCTCCTCCTGACTGGAATGTGGTAATGGAAATATGATCTGTTCAAAGGACAAAGACTCCATGAAAGGGGTGGGGGAACCACCCTGTGTGTACAGACACCCCCACACCCAAGTGCAGAGACCCTACTGGAGCGTAAACACTCAAATGTTGTGGAACCAAAGTAGTGAGAAAGGGGTGTTGTGTGTATGTGCTGTTTTCCCAAGAGCAAGATATTCTACAATGGGCAGGGGTGGGATAGAGCAGAGGGGTCATCACCACTGAGGAAAACTCTAGTCTCTTCCTCTGACTTTCTGGTAAATCACTGGCTTGCCCAGATCCTGTTATGCATCATTTTTTTTTGTCCCCCCACAACTCATTTATTGAAGCCTTCACCCAGAGTGTGCTAGTATTAGGAGGTGGGGGCTTTGAGAGATAATTGGGTTAGATGAGGTCAGGAGGGTAGAGCCATTAGAATGGGGTGAGTGTGTGTATTTTCTGAATTTGCACAAAAAAAGCTCATGTGGGCACAGAGGGAGATGGAGGCCTTCTTCAGGCTAGGAAGAATCTCCCCCAAGCCCTGATCTGTTGACTCCTAGCCCCCAGAATGATGAGAAATAAATCATTTGTTGCTTAAGCCAAATACTCTGTGGTATTTAGTTATAGCAGCCCAAGCTAGGTAACCTCAGCATGCCAATACTAGCTGCTGAGACACTGAGCTCTGAGCTACCAGGAAAGATTGGTTGGCAGTGTGAAATCCAACAGAGCCCAATTTTCCTTAGAGCTTATAGGAAGTTCTAACCGATTCTAAAGACATAAAAAGCAGATTTACCAGGGCCCTCCCTGGTGGCACAACTGGTTAGGACACAGCACTACAAGCTGGCCACAGCCACTTCGGTGGAGTTTGACCCCGGGCCCTGACCATGCCATGGCGTAGCAGACCTCTCCTGACCCACTCGCTGCTCCCCTCAGCAGTGTATTTCAGTGCATACACTTGTTCTGCTCCCCTGCACTCTGCACTCTGTCTCTTGTGATTCCTCTCACTGCCCCTGCACCTCTGGCCTGTGCCCCAGTTCCATATGCATAAATAAATAAACCTTTAGGGGGAAAAAAAAAAGCATATATACCAAACAGAAAAGACAGATATAACTTCCTGGTTTAGAACACTGAAATAGCCCTTAGCATACAATTTGCTAAGGTGCTGGTGACCTACTTCTACTCTTCTGTGTGTTGATTACATCTGTAGAGTGTGGTGCCTAGGAATCAGTATTGAAAAACCATTCCAGTTGCCATTAAATTATTTGCAATTCTAAGTTATTTAACTACATTCACAAACAACTCTGGTGAAGAGAACAAGAGGTAAGAGAATGTTTCTAATGGAAATCAACCATTCAGCATTGCTATTTTTGCGAGGTGATATTAATCTCTAAACTAGTGGTTTGATTTTCAGTGGTGATGGCAGGGTAGAGGGAAGTATATTTCTAAAAGTCAGTCGCTCAGTATAAAATTGGATGTAAATATACATTTGGAACATGGGGAAACCCCCACAATTTTCATAATGCAAAATAAGGTGAAAGGCTGTGTGGCTGCTGACAGTGCTCTGGAGAGAGGTGCTTGCTTTTTCTTTCTTTTTTAAAGATTTATTTCTCGATGCACACAGAACTGGGGTATAGGCCAGAGGTGCAGAGGCGGTGAGAGGATTCACCAGAGACAGAGTGGGGAGCAGAACGGGCAGATGGATGAAGTACACTGCTGAGGGGAGCAGCGGGTGAGACAGGAGGAGTCTGCTATGCCATGTGGGTTACCTCCAGGGCGGGGATCGAACTTGCACCTCTCTTGCACCAAAGCAGCTGCAGCCAGCTTCACAGTGCTGCGTGGCGCCACTAGGGAGGGCCCTAGAGAGAGAGGTGCTTTCTAAGTGCAGCGATGAGAGCAGAGATGAATATGTGATCACCTCAAGTACTAGAATCTCAGGAAGGAAGGTCTGATATTTTTACATTTGTCCAATGAAGTATGGATTTTTTTTTTAAAGAGTAAGATGGGCCCTCCCTGGTGGCGCAGCGGGTTAAAGCACAGCACTGAGAAGCTTGTCACTTCCGCATGAGTTCGATCCCCACCTGCCCTGAAGGAGATCCACATGGCGGCAGACCTCTCCTGACCCGCCCGCTGCTCCCCCCAGCAGTGTACTTCCTCGATCTGCCTGTTCTGCTCCCCACTCTGTCCCTGGTGAATCCTCTCACCCTCCGCATTTCTGGTCTGTACCCCAGTTCTGTATGAATAAATAAATAAATCTTTAAAAAAAAAAGAGTAAGATGCATCCTACTCAATATCCATCTTCCATGTATGCTAACCTAGTGTGTCCACGCTGCAGTCGCCTTTGTTCTATTTCAGCGATGGATGACCCGTCCTCCGCTCTAATAACTGCGTCCATTCTGCTCATATTCTTTGGGACTTCTTCTGTAATCAACTTTTCCTCTCCTCATGTTACTGGTTGTCTTTCCTGGCGTGCATGGATTGTATGCGATTGCCTGTGTGATTGTGGTTGCATTTGTGGGATGTGGATTGCATGTGTGTCCTGGGATCCCCCTTATTGAAAGTCCTCAGTTGACCTTTTACCTCCCACTTAGCTGCCGCCCCTCCTCTCCGTTCTCTTTCTCAAACAGGCCATCAAAATCGCAAAACCACTTTCACACAGTCCTAATTTCTCTTCCATCTACACCTTTCAGAATGTTGTCGCTGACATTCTGCTGAAACTGATGTGGTAAACTTTGTCAGTTCTTTCCTTGCTCTAAAAATACAACAAAACTAAACAAAAATAATCAGACAACTATAAAGGAAATTTTCGGAGGGCTTTGGAAGGGAGAGGGTACAAAATGAGGGTGGAAAGACACGAGGGAATAAGGTGATGGTGCTCAGGTGAATTGGTGATGGGAATTCTATGGGGACTATACCTGATGTAAATACAGACAAAGAAATTAAATTAAAACAAAGACAAAACAAAACAATTTGGGACCTCTCTGATCACACAACGGGTTAAAGTACAGCACTATGAAGCTGGCTGTAGCTGCTTCAGTACAAGTTCACAAGTTCGACTCCTGCCCCGAAGCTGACCCACATGGTGCAGCAGAACTCTCCTAACCTGCCTGCTGTTCCCCTCAGCAGTGAACTTCATCAATCTGCCTGTTCTGCTCCCTATTCTGCCTGTGGTGAATCTTCTCTCTCTTCCTGCACCTCTGGCTTGTACCCCAGTTCTTGTATGCATAAGTAACTAAATCTTTGAAAAAGAAAACCACCAACTTCCGTTGTGGTCATTTGATGAGGGACCATCATTTGATGGTCCCTCTTTCTCTTCATCCTTCTTGTCCTCTCTGCAGCAAGTTACTGGGCCCTCTTACCTTGAAACACCTTCATCTCTTGGTGTTCCCAGCAACGAAGTCTCGATGGCAGATCCTGTCAGTCTCTGTATTTACTCGTCCTTCTCTCTCCCCCTCGCAAGGCTGGGCCACCCCATGGCTCAGACGGCCTCTTCTTGCCTCTGTTCTTCCTTATTCCTTATTTGTTCCCATGGCTTTCAATGACAACACTATATATACATTTTCCCAAAGCATGTCTCCAGTCTCTTTATGTGCTTCTCTGATGTATGTACTTGGACTCTACTAGAAGACTTGAGATATATTTCAAGCTTACAACGGAAAAAAAACCTCTTGATGGATTCTCTAACCCTGTTTTTTCATATGCTCTGTCTGTTGGAAAATAGTACCAATACCCATCCAACCGCTGAAGCCCAAAGCTTCTCCCCATAGGAATCAAGAATCCATTTGAGTTGTGTATGTAGGATCAAATGTTTGTCTATGTTATTATGGGTTGAGGAAAAATAGTTCCAAAGCTTATATCCTGTGATGTGGCTTTCCTCCCTGTAGAACACCACCGAGAACGCTAGGCAATGTGGTTTTCAGTGTGTCCCTAATGCCCTGGGCCTGTGGGAATCAGGACCACCCCAACATTTGCAGAACTTGGGGTAATAGTGCAAATATAGGACCAAATATTATATATCTAAATATTTGAATGTTGTAAATCAACTTACTAAACTGTTAATAATATATCTTCTAAATGCCTGTCTTGACAAATTCACATATTCTTCGGCTGTTCACGCTAATACATGGCTATGTAGAGGAAAATGGCCTCACACTTCCTGCTTCCAGCCTCTCTCTTTCCTCACCCCTGGCTCCTGCACATAGCTAGGCCCCTAGTATATACATAGTGGATTCCCTAATTTTCAGGTACAAGTTCCATCTGTCTCCTTCCCATATCGTCACTGCTGGCCACCCTTTGAGAGGCCTTGCGGTCACCCCAGAGAAGCCCCGCCATGAGGCTCCCATGGTGAACTGGAACTGGAGTCCTTTGGGCGCTCAGGGTCTGGTGCGGGATTGAGGTAGGCACATCATCTTGGGCCTGTTAGTGTATCACCCCCTGGATATGGGCACAAATGGTGAGTACCTGAACCCAGGCATGGGCCCCCTGGCCTGGCTAGAATGGTGCATCGTGGGGGTGGAGCAATTCTGGTACTGCTCACTCCTAGACATCTTCCACCCCCACCTGACCCAGCTTCCTCTCGGGTCTATGTTTAGGTGACCATCCAAGCACTCATCCTCTACCTCTCAGAAAAACATTGCATTAAAACTAGATTCCCCCAGAATCTTTGGATTTTCAGTCTTCAACTCAACAAATATTTATTTTCTTCCACATTCAAGCTATCATGAAGAAAGCAAGAATGAATAAAAAAAGTGTCCTTCCAGGAACGATTCCCCTCCTTGTGGCCAAGTCAAACCTTACAAAATATCTGGGGTGTTTCCCCACCACACTTACCTGGCAGGAAGTAAAGTAACCAAAGCCACAGTTGCATCGCTTCTTCTTCCAGAGCGAGTTTCTCTCCAAGAGCCCCAGGAAACAGGCAGAGAGATCTCTTCCTTGCCAGGAACTTGTCACAATCTGGAGATGTTTCGAAGAGATTTGAGGCTCTTACAAATAGCAAGGCTTGAAAAAGGAGGAAATACAGCCTGTCTTGATTGTAACTTGTTTTGAAAGACTAAAAAAGGAACTACCAGTCAACCACAGCGGAAGTCAGGTTGAGAAAACATGGGTTCGGAATGGGTCACTCATGCTTAGAGATACTCAAGACGGTTGCTTTAAGCTGTTAGAAATCAGCAGCTATAAATCTTCTTTGACTTCCTGTGCTTTAAGTATATTCACTAACTTCTGAGTCTGAGTCATTTACTTGACCTTATCTCCAGGGAAAAGGAAACTCATCATCGATTTCTCCATCTGAGAAAGGCTGCTTGGACAGAGCTTAGGTTTGAGGGCAGAAGGTGCTGGTTGTAACCATTACCAGCCGTCGATGTATTCATTTGACAAACAGTTTTGAGCACCTGTTCTGTGAAGATGAAAGTAGACAACACTTTTCTTCCTGTAGGACATCTTTCCTGAAGCTGTCACCCCAACTTGTCCAGCATTTCAGATCAGCCCCCCCACACCATTCCCCACTATCTCCCTAAGGTGCTGCCTGCTGACAGGGACCCAGCCACTATCCAGTGACTACAGGAGCAGAGTGTGGCAAGTCATACAGCAACTCTGCCAGTGTTATGTCATCCTGCCAGAGCCATGCTTGGTGGCCCTGAGGGGGCAAGAGTGAGGCACAGTGACTGAAGGAGAAGAAAGATGCTGAGACAATCAGCCATGAGGTGTCATGGAAAGAACCTTGGATTCCAGAAAGAGGACCTGGATCCTCATCCTGACTTGACATTTTCTAGCTCTGGGCCTTGATGAATTATGGAGTATTCCTGCTCTGTCTGCCTCACAGCATGTCCATGAACCCCAGAAGGAGCCGTACACACAGCAGTGCTTCAAGAGCCCTTATGAAGGAGCCATGTGGGCTATGACTGCGGATTCCCAAGATTTCATGCCTGGACATTATATCATAGGTTGGTTCCTTGGCTCCCCAGCTCAAGGTGCTTCTGCCTTTTGTGCCAGTTTTGGGAGGTGGAGACTGATAGAACCTTTAAGTTCCTCTGCGTTTCTGGGCACGCCCTACCCACTGGCCCAGCACACCATTTGTCAGCATACAAAACAACATCTGTGGCTGAAGTGGAGTATGAGGCTTATAGCAGGTGCAGAGAAAGTGAGTGTGGGGACACAGAGGAAGTGAGTGCAGGGATGCATAGTCTGCCTACCGACCCCATCCACCCCATCTAGGTCCTGGCCAGCCCAAAGCAGCTGCAGCTGTAATTTCCTCCAACCACCAACTGGGCCAAGGCATTTGTGGGCAGCTGGAGAGTAGAGTAGAGTGGGCGTTGGAGGCCTCAGCGTACCTCAGCCTCCATCCTCCCCTGGGGGACACTCGTTGCTGAGCTCTGCAGCTGTGACATCACTGGGCTCTAACATTTGCTGGGCTTAAGGCCTGGGGTGGCCGAGGAGAGAGAACGAGAGAATGAATGAATGAACGTTGATGTGTGTGTGAGCCAGGGCATGGGAGTGTGTCTGTGTGATGTGTGAATGATAACTGGTGTGTGGCTGCGATGTGTGAGTGAAGTATGTGGCATGTGTCAGAAAGTGAGGGGCGGTGTGGGGTGTCCGAGTGTGCATGTGTGTGGCATATTGATCTGTGTGTCGAATGCGATGTCGGAATACGCTATAAATGTGAATGAGTGTTATGGGCTACTGAGTGCTTGTGTGGTATGTGTATGTGTGTGACTGACTGTGACGTGTGAGTGCTCATGGTGTGTGTGTGAATATGCACTGAGCATGGGCTGCTGGCTCTGGGAACTGCCAAGTGGTGCTGAGGCTTTGGGATGACAGAGGATTGGAGAGACCTCATTGCACATGAAGCACAAAGAAAATCTTAGAAACATCATACGGTGCCTTAGAGTAAGGATGAGCTGCCTGTGTCCTGCTCTGTTTGGGGTCGAGGGAACCAAGCTCTCAGGCCTGCGCTTATCCAGTCACTGCCTCTGAATGTTGGGCCAGGAAGATTGATCCTTTGATAAATTTCAAAGTGGACAACATTAATCATTTTATTCTCTTCTCCCTGTCTTATTCCACCTCTGAATCTTCTCCTTTATGACTCTCAGCATCATCCATTATTGTCTTGTTCCCAGAAGGCCTGATAAGCTGAAACACAGTTGTGTCTGGGGTTCCATGGCCTAATGCTCCCCAGGGCCAAGGCTTGACCAAGTCGAATGAATCTGATGGAAAAGATTCAGAGCTTGATGAAAAGTCGATGGAGGGAACAAATAATATCAGATACACTGGGAACTGTTCTGAGTCTTTTAGGTGAATTCATGTCATCTCCATAATAATTAAATTTGCCAGAATTTGTTGAGTCTATAGTTTTGCATAGTGTTGGAACTGTCCCTTTGCTTCAATTTTTTGGAGAGTGAGCACGATAAGTATTAGATTTCCCAGTTTGGTAGAATTCACTGGTGAAGCCATTTGTTTTTTTTAGGGAAACTTTTAATTACCGATTCAGTTTCTGTACTTGTGATTGGTGTGTTCAAATTCTTTCTTCCTGAGTCAGGTGTGGAAGAGTGTATGACTCTAAAAATATGTCCATTTCTTCTCAGCTGTATGCCTTGTTGCATATAGATGTTCATAGTCATTTTTCATGATCCTTTGTATTTTGGCAATATCTGTTGTAATTGTCCTCTTTCATATCTAATTCTTTTCATTAGGGTTTTCTCAGTTAAAAGGTTATCAATTTTATTTATCCTTTCAATGAAACAGCTCTTGGTTTCTTTACTTTACTTTGAAGTTTTCTTGAAATTTATGGGTTTACCAATCAAGTACATGATTATACAATTTTGGGACTTTAACTTCACACCTCACTCACCCTTCACCAAAGCCTCAGTGCCTTCCCTTTATCTCCTTCCCTCTCCTAATCCCTGCTTCCCATCCCCACCTGGCTAATCTTTTACTGCTCTTTTTGTTTGTTTTAAAGATTTATTTATTTATTTATGCACCCAGAGGTCCCAGGGTGAGAGGACTCACCAGAGACAGAGACAGAATGGGGAGCAAAATAGGCAGATCCACTGAGATACACTGTTGACTGAGATACACTGTTGAGGGAGCAGCAGGTGGGTCAGGAGAGGTCTGCTGTGCCATGTGGGTCAGCTCCCTGGCGATCGAACTTATGCTGCAGTGGCTGCAGACTGCTTCGTAGTGCTGTGCACCACCAGGGAAGGCCCTTATTCATCTTTTGGTTTCTATTTCTTTTATATCTGTTCTAATTTTTATTTCCTTAACTTTGCTTTCTTCTTTTCCTTTTACTTCCTTTATGTGTGTGTGTGTGTGTGTGTGTGTGTGTGTGTGTATAAGAGCAGTCCCTTCCAGCTCTATCCATGTTGCTACAAATAGCGTGAATTTATTGTTTGTGTTCACTGAGTAGTATCCCACTGTATACATAGATGGCATCTTGATTTACTTGTCTGCTCTGGGGTATCTAGGTTGTTTCCATGTCTTGGCCAGAGGTGCAGGGGGTGAGAGGATTCACCAGAGTCAGAGTGGGGAGCAGAAAAGGCAGATCTTCTGAAATACACTGCTGAGGGGAGCAACGGGAGGGCCAGGAGAGGTGTGCTGCTCCCTGAGTTTTGTGCGTGTTGGTTTGTCACATTGCTGAACTAGTTTATTGTTTCAATTAGTTTATTTTTGAGTCCTTGGGGTTCTCTACATTATATCATAGGCATATGTTGATAGTTTACTTCTTTTTCAATTTGGTTTCTCATTTTTCCCTTTTTTGCTTAATTTCTCTAACTATGATTATTAATTCTAAATTGAATAGTAGTTCTAAGTGTGGACAACCTTGTCTTGTAACACATCTTAGAGGAAAGATATTCAATTTTTCACCATTGAGAATGATACTAACTGTGGGTTTTCATGTATGACTTTTACTATATTAAGATTCATTTCATTTTTCTCTGATTTCTCAACATAAATGGGTGTTGAGCCTTTACAATTTGATACAGTATGAGGTTTTCCCTCCCTCCCTCCCTCCTTCCTTCTTGTTATAATGAGTTACCATGATTGGTTTTCAGGTGTTAAACCAACCTTGTGCTCCTGGTATAAAGTCTACTTGGTCCATTTATTATTGGATTCAGTTTCTTAAGATTGTATTGAGGATTTTTGCATCTGTATTCATTAGAAGATTGATCTGCTGTTTTCTTTGTTTGGTTTGGTATTAGGGTAATGTGTTTGGAGGAAATCCTTTCTCAAATTTTTGAAATTTTGTCCAGGATTGACAATATGACGGGGCATATTGACCAATATGAGCTTAAGAAAAATGTGCACTCAGCTTTTCTTGGGTGTAATAAATACCTGTGCAGACCAGGTATTAGATTGTCTTTGACAGTTTGGTAGAATTTACTTGTGAAGATACCTGGTCCTGAATTTTTGTGTTTTTTTTGGGGGGGAAAGCTTTGATTACTGTTTCAACTTCCTTATGTTTGCTTTGTCCAACTTTTCTATTTATTCCCTATTCAGTCTTAGATTATTGTATAATTCTAATCTATCCATTTTATCTAGGTTGTTGAATTTTTTTTTTTGCATATAAAAACACAGTAGTCTCTTGATTCCCTCTCAATTTCTGCAGTCTGTTGTAACTTCTCTTTCTACTTATTTGAGTTTTCTCCTGCTTTTTCTTATTGAACCTTAGTAAAGCTTTGTAATTTGTTTATTTTTCCCCAAGAACCATCCTTTGGTTTTGTTGATCTTTTGGGTTATCTTTTTGATTTCTATTTCACTTATTTCTGCTCATATTTTTATTATTACTTTAATTTTACTGGCTTTGAATTTTTGTTCTTCTTTTTCTTGTTCCTTGAGGTGAGCGACAAGGTTATACCTTTGAGCTCTTTCTAG